CTATAAAACTCAAATTTCATGGATCTTGGTCAAATATTTTCCTCACTGGATGACAGAGACCAGTGCTTTCCAAAGTGTCGTCCCTATGCCAGCTGCATCACCTGGGAACCTGTTAGAAATGGAAATCCTAAGGCCCCATTTCAGACCTACTGAATCAGAAACCCCAGAGGCAGGGCCCAGCGATCAGTGCTTTAACAAGCCCTCCAGGTGACTCAAATGCCTGGCACCCACTGGTCTCAACATAATCATGACACCACAGATTGAGAGATTGCGACGTGCCGATCCTGGTGGTGAACACTTTATGAGTATTATCTCATTTAAACCTGACACTGACACTGTGAGATAAGCAGAATATTCATATTTTAGAGCCAGGAGCTGAGATTCTGAGTAGGAAGTAACCAGTCCAAGGCCATGCAGCTAAAAATTGGCAGAGGTAGGTTTCAAGCCCAGTTTTGTTTGACTCCAAAGCTTATGCAGTAACACCCCCTGGCTTGGAGCTAGCATACAGCTTTTCTTTGCCAAGGGTCTTCTGAAGGTACTCAGGAGATTTTATCTGACAACCGGAGCAATGGCACCCATGAGAAAGTGGCGTGGCTAAAGCCCCGCTCAGCAGCAGACACCACAACTGCGCTGTCACGGCGGCAGCAGCTGCGCCTTGTCCTACACAAGGAAATGAGCTGGATTTGAGTAACTGGAATGTCAGCCCTCTCCACTTGGAGCGACGCTCTTTCCTAGGTCTTTCCAGTCTGGCTAGCCACTTGGAGATCTTCTTTTAAGGGTTCATGTGAGTTCAGAGGGCTGAGTTGATCTAAAAATAAAATGCTTCCCTGGATGACAGTAGATTTGCTTTTCTTAAGAGTTCAAGAAAACCTCCAGTGATTGTATTAGGGGATTATAGCTAGAAATTGCTGTTCCTTCTTTAAGCTCTGCGGTTGACCCCCGGCTGGAAAGCAGGATTTTACAGGAAAAGAAACACATGGTTTGTTCTGTACAAACGTCATGTTCCTGAAATACAGTATTCAGCAAACATCCATTAAGCACCTATGTTATCCACCTACATTCTCTCAGGTCTATTTATTCAATCTTCAGAACAACCCTATGAGGACCTATTATTTAAGATAGTAGCTACTATTATCCCCATTTGATAGATAAGGAAAGAGAGGCAATCAACGGGTAAGTGGCAGCCAGAATTCAAATCCAGGCTTGCCGATTTGCAAGTTCCTCCCTCTTTGCTGTACCATACAAGCCCACCTTGTCTAGTACTGGGATGAATTAGGAGAAGAGCCTGGAGCCTGGGGATCTGAGGACAAAGAGGAAAAGACGTTTCACGTGATGGCAGGTCAGCCACCAGAAAGGCACTGAAGGAACACGTCTAAGAGTATTTGTGTTAGCTAGGCCTGCTCTACAATGGCCATATCACACATATACATTACAGGAGTTCACTCTCTTTCCTCCTGAGGTGGCTCTGAGCTGGTGCTGGCCACCAACTCTTGCAGGTGCAGACGGGAGGCATGGCCCTAGCAAGTGGCCTGAGCTCTAGACGAAGCTGAGCCTCGTGAGATCCTGACACGAGAGCTGTCAGCCCTGCCCAGGAAATTCTGGATTGTCTTTGGAGTGTGATCCACCTTTGGTTCCAGAGAAGCTGTCCATCTGGGGCCCAGGAAGCCAGCGAGTCACCCAGGTCACCAGTTTCCTGTTTCCCTATCTATCTGAAACTTTCACCTGAACACCCTCAGTCTCTCGGCCTTCTGGAAAGCAGGCAGAACTAGGGGTGAGTGGGAAGGGGGCAGACATGCTCCTTATACAACTCAGCCACAGATGTCCATCACCCTGGCACCATGACAGCCAGAGCCCTGCCATGCCTGTGTCATCATTGGGCAGGCTGGGCAGACCATATAGGGCCCTGCAAATGCATGAAACTAGAGCTCTTTCTTGGGGGAACTCCACACCGGTTCCTGATGGCGTGCACTGAACAGGAACATGCATTACCCCTCACCCTGCCTGTAACACTCACGAAGGAACCCGTGCCAGGCTGCCCACTTCAACTCAAATCCAATAAGGATTTCCTGGAGATATTCCAGTTCCTCTCTACATTACAGAAAAACTAGAGAAGACCTCCCCATTCTCTTTCTGACTTAGACTGGCTGTGTTCTTCCTTCCCTGACAGTTTGGATGCTCAAGTCCAGTGGAGAACCCCTGAGTGCCGGAGATGAACCTTTTAGGGAAGATGCAGCCTCTCCTGGCCCCTGGGCAGATGACCAGGGCTCCCACCTCCCCCAGCCTATACTTCTCATTCAAGGTCCCCAACACTGTTCCCCAGGTGCGTGCAGGTTGAGAGGGGTGGTTATGAGCTGAGCTTCAAGCAGCCCCAGGAGTCTGGGTGCAGGTTCAGGCTGTCACGAGGTGCATATCAAAGCCGGAGTTTAAAAACTGTACTGGGAATAGTGCAATTATCTCGCTTCACCACATTTCTCAGCCCCGACTGAGGTTTAATTAAAGCCAAGTAAAAACAGAGTCGCCATTTCAGATATCACCCCCACTGCATGCTGGTTAAAAAAAAAAGAAAAGAAAAAAAAATCCTTTATCGGGGACTTAAAATTTTTTCTGTGGGTGTCTTCCAGCTCAGTTGGATATTATTTCTTCATAACACTTCCTTTAAAGGAAAAAAATATATATTTAATATATATGTATAAAATGAGTTAATCCTCCATAATCTCCTTGAGTTGTACCTAAAACACAGTTTCTTGCAGGTGACCTTTTCAGAAGAGGCTGTTGCTATGGCAACCGCATTGTTTGATTTAGTCAAGAGAAAAATGCTGCATGGAAATGTATTTAATTTTGCTTAATTTGATGCTGTATTTAACACTTGCGCAGGCTGAAAGGAGAGGAGGACTGAAAGGGAGGAGTCAGCTCATCGGGGCCATGCTCACTGGCATCCTATTCTGGGTGGTGAAAAGGGCCCCCAGATACCACCATAGACTGGATGCCTGCTGTTGGCCTAGGAGTGGGGACCAGGACTTCCCTGCGTTCCGCTTCTGAGGTGCTCTGGTAGGAAGGAGCTGGGCAGGGCCCACCACATGCTCCTCAGATGCTGGGGCCATGGGGCAGACACTGCAAGTTGAATGGTGAGCTGGGGCACACCAGCCACAGCTTCAGACAGGGAGTTAATAGCCGGGGTAAAGCTCTTGCGCTGGTGCTGCCATGGCCTCATTTTCCTCATCTGACATAGGAGGCCAGTGAATTAAAATACTTCTCGGTTCCCTTTTATCAGCTTGTGCATCTCTAGCTGCAGTCTGATGGTCCCCGTCAGGCTTTGAGCTTCATGGAAGCAGGGCTGAGTGCAGGGTAGGTACTCGGTAAATGATTCAATCATTTAGTCAGACAGAAGCCCCCTCCAGGAGATACCACAGCCCAGTCCTGAGAGGTCCAGGCACAGCCTTGCTCACTGCAATTCACAGGCCATGGCACCTACCACACAGCCATGCCCACAATCAGAGGAGATTTGGAAACCCGATGAGCCAGGGCCCTTGGCCAAGGTGCCACAGGGGTGACAGGGAATGAGCCCAAGATATCTGGCTTCCAATAGTCCCACCAAGCTAGGCACATGCCTCTGTTGGGGGCAAACATGGTGACCAGGAGGAGAGAATAGGTGCAGCCAGATCAAGTGGTCTCCGGCTCAGCCAGGCTGGGAAAACGGACATCCCCCAGCCTCCCGCATCTTCCACCCAGCCTTAGGCTGGCAGCACCCACAAACTCTATGCCTACCTCTGTTCTGAATAAATTCTAATCCCACTCATTTGCATGATGACCTTGGACAAGTTATTTGAACCCTCTGGGCCTCAGTTTCTTCATCTGAAAAATAAGAGCTGACAAGGGATATCTAAATGCCTTTCTTACTTTGACATTCCCTGTCATATGATTCTCACCTGCCATCACTGCATGCCAAGAGCCAAACACCTCCAGGGTGGGCTGTGCCCACCACCCTGATGTTCAGTCACCAACTGTACTAATCCAGCAAGTCAGCCCCTCCCTTGGTCTTCAACTGAAGGCACCACATCTCCATCGCAAGCCAAGACCCAGTCGTCCCAAGGTCCTCAGTCCCACACTGCTGTGCCCTCCAGGACCTCGCTCCTCAGCCTTCCCATTCACCTAAACCACCATCGGGTGAGCCTCCTAGCTGACGCACCGCTGGGTACACACTCAGCACCAGGCTGCCCCACAGCCTTTGGCCATGCCCTCTGGAAATCCTGGTCTCTCTGACTGGCTCCTTCACTTTCTTGCTTCAAGGGAAACCCAGACTTGATGAGCTGTTTCCTCAGAAGCCCTTTCCTGTTGGGGATAGTTTTTGTCTCTTACATCTCACATACTTCAGAAGTGAAAGCTGTGTGTGTGTCTTCCCTTCTTCCCTGCTTCCCACTACAGTTTTTTTTTTTTTTTTTTTTTTGGACAGGGTCTCACTCTGTTGCCCAAGTGGGCATGCAGTGGCACAATCACAGCTCACTGCAGCCTCCACCTCCTGGGTTCAAGTGATCCTCTCACCTCAGCCTCCTGAGTAGCTGAGACTATAGGTGTGGGCCACCACATCTGGCTATTTTTTTTTTGTATTTTTTTAGAGATGAGGTTGTGCTATATTGCCCAAACTTGTCTCAAATTCCTGAGCTCAAGAGATTCTCCCACCTCAGCCTCCCAAAGTATTGGGACTATAGGCGTGAGCAACTACACCTGGCTAGTTTCTTTTAAAAAAATTGTATTAACACATAATAGCTGTATATTTTGGGGGTGCATGTAAGATTTTGATATCTACACACAATGCAAAACGATCGAATCCATGTAAGATTGGGATACGCATCACCTCAAACGTGTATTTTTCCTTTGTGTTGCGAATGCTACAATTTTCTCCTAGCTATTTTGAAATATACAATAATTTACTGTTAACTATAATTTCCCTACTGTTTATCAAACACCAGAATGTATTCCTTCTATCTAACTGTATTTTTATACAAAATATGGAATGTTTCACCAATGTGTGTGTCATCCTTGTTCAGGGCCATGCTAATCTTCTCTGTACCACTCCCAGTTTGGTCTGTGTGCTGCTGAAGTGAGCACCCCACCGCAGTTTCTAACCCATCTCTCTTTCTTCTTTCAAAAACCCAGGCTCACTTGAAGCACTTGTCATTAGACCTCACTGCCCCTCCTACGTATGAAATCCTGTCAGTCTACCAACCTGGACGTTCCCCCTCATTCATGGATGACCTTAGCACTTGGGTTGGCGACTCCTTCTGCATTATTATTTCTGCCAGCATCACTGGGGACTCCAAAATCCATGAAGATGATCTGTCCAATACCCTGGCCTCTAGCTGGCTATCCTTCCTAGCTCCAATGAGCCTTTATTATTATTTATTATTATGTTTTTCTTCCCACTGTGATTGGTATCCAATGAGCTTTTGCTCCATTCACATGGCCATTCCCTAGACTTTGTCACACCAATAACTGAATCACCCATGAAATGTACATTGCCAACATCCCATTTTCTGACCATTGCCACCCTAGCTTACTCTGACGCTCCTACTTACTCCAGCAATTCTCCAACCCCACTTCATTAAAAACATTTTTTTATGATCCCTTTTCATCACTCCCTGCATGTGTTCACTTCCCTCTTCGCCCAGCTCTGATTCCAGTACCCAACGCTTCAACTCCCGCCACGCCAATCACCTGGGCTTCTTGCAGCTCTTGTTGCGCTGCCCTAGTCTAGCAGAGCTCCTGCCCTGGAATCCTACCCACTTATATGGGGCCTGTACCAGAGCAGCTGAACATTACTGGAGAAAAATGATACAAATTTCCTGACTAGACTCACTTCAAACATAACCACAAATCTCACTCAACACTGTCAGAAAACCTACCACCTTTCCCTGGAAAATTCAATTTCCCAGTCTCTGGGGAAACCTCATACTTCCTTGTCTCCCCGGGTCTCCAACACTCCCTCCCCACCCCATTCTCAGCTGATGACCTTGCAATATACTTCATAGAGAAAACAGATTTCTATAAGATGAGAACTACCCCATCTTCCCATCAACAAGCCCTTTATTGTGTCTGTCTCAGAACTAAAATACTCAGGCCATGCCATACTGCAATTACCATAGAAAAAGAGTCCTGGCTCCCATCCAAGGTCAATACCTTCACTGGGCTCTGGACCCATTCTCCCGTGCCATTTCAAGGACTTTTCTCCCTCTTTAACTGGATCACTTCCACTGGCGTATAAACATACCTCCATATCATCCTCCTTTAAATAAACTCTCCCTTGACCCAAGCCCCTCCTCCATTTTCCACCTCTTCTGGAGCTTCCTTTCACAGTAAATCTATTCAAAGGAGTCATCTACACTCACTGTCTGTCCTTTCGCATCTTCCATTCTCTCCTCAACCCACCCCAATCAGGCTTTATTACCCACCACTCCACTGATGACTAATTACCAAGATTACTAAGACTGTATCTTGCCAAAGTAAATGGTCAATTCTTTGTCCTCATTTTAACTTCCCGACAGCACTTGGTGCAGTGGGTCAATTTCTGATCTGAGAAAACTTTCTCCTCCAGGCCCTGACACCTTGCTCCTCTGGTTTTTCCCAACCTTCACAAGCAAGCACTCCTTCTCAGTCTCCTCTGCTGGCATTTCCTAAAAGTACTGGAGCGTCTCCGTCACTCACCCTTTCTGCGTCCTCTCTCTCTCTTCCTCATTGCTTCAGGACCTTCTTACACACTCAGGTCTCTCACATGCAAATCTCCAGCTGTACCTCTTTCAGACACCCAGACATCTGCATTCAGCTGTCTACTCAACACCTCTACTTCAGGGTCTCAAAGGGATCCTGAGCTTGGTATATTAAAACAGATCTCTTAATTTCTCCCCTCAAATCCTACACCCACTCTGCCAAGCCTCTTTCATCTAAATAAAACCCTCCATTCAGGTGCTAAAAATCTAGAAGTCAGTCTTGGTTCCCTCCTTTCCTCAACTGCATTCAATGCATCAAGAAGCCCGCAACCACCTGAATCCAATAACTCTGCTCCATCTCTGCTGCCACGGCCAAGACTAAGCCAACAAAGCCTCCACCTGCCCTCTTTACTCCCTCAGCAGCCACAGTGGCATTTCTAAAGCACACTCAGCTCTCTTCACTCTCCCCCTAACAGTCCTCATGGCCTACCCAAGACAGGGAAGACCCAAATGCCTCTGTGTGGCCTCCTAAGACCCTCTGCCTCCCTGACCTCCTTTCTCTTCATCCTCCCTCTTGTCTACCCAGGCACATTGGCTCAGGCCCATCCCAGAGACTTTGCTTTTGCTTTTCCTTCTGATTGAGATGCTCCTCCTCCCATCTACCTATGGCTGTCACTTTCTGAACCATCAGGTTCAATACAAATATCCCATCTTTAGAGAGCCTTCCCCAACACGCAGCCCAGCACTCTGCCACAGGAGCCCGCTTTACCTTCTTCCCAGCATTTGTCAGGACTTCACAGTTTCTTATTTCCATGTTTCCTTCCTTGTTTATTCACTATCTTCCTCCCTACTTAGAATATGAAATCCTTGATGGCAGGGAGGCTTGTCTTATTTAACACTATTCCCTGAATCTACAATGAAGCCTTGCACACAGTAAGCATCTAGCATTTGTTGGTTGACTGCCTGAAGGAAGCAATTTATGGCTAGATGTGCTGTCTTACTTATCTCTGTGCCCTGGGACTGGGCCTGCAGCCACCCGGGCTCATAATCAGCACATAATAGATGCACACGGATGTGCAGCATCTTGGAGTTGGGTGTTATCCTAGCGCTCCTGATCTGACCTTCTACCTACAGCAAGAGTTCCCATTTATTCCAACATTCCTCACAGGTGGTCATTCAGCCTTCCAAGGTCCTAGAATATTTGATGAGGAAGCTTAGCAACTCAGAGAGTAGACAAAGGCCATGGCCCAGCGTCCTAGCCTGGGCCTGCTCCAGCCCCCCAGCCCCGGGTCAGGGCCTCCTTGCTGCAGGCGACACTTCCCACCCTGCGTGCTCCTTGTCCGCACATCCTTGCCTGCCTTCCTGGCACTGTGGTTGCTGCACAGCTTGGTCTCTAGTTTATAAAAGGTAAAAAACAAAAGGCCACAGTTTCATGAGTTGCTGTCTGATATGAGCTGGCAGGGCTCCTCTGCACAGGGCTGGCACTGCAGAGCCGATGGATTCACGTCTAGGGACTCCATTCTGTGCTCTGGGGAGGGAACACAACCCCTCAGGGAGCTGGATGTGGGGCTCGACATCCCTCACCCTTCGGGCTCATCATGTCTTTCCTGGAGACCATAGGTTCTGAAAGTATGTGTGGTGCAGTGGTTAGGAGTGTGGACCCCGGCATCATTCAGACCTGGGTGACACCTAGGTTATGTGACCATGGGCAAGTTACTCTATTGCTTGCAGGCATACGAGTGGGATAATGATAAGTCTTAGTTCAAAGCAGTCGTATAAAAGTAAATGAGAGAATACATGCAAAGTGCTTAGCACAGTTTTAGACACCGAATGCACACTAAATAATAAATATGGGGTCCTCAACTCTAACCTGTGATTCCAGAGCCAGCGTGATGCTGCCTTCACCACTGTTAGCAGGAAGCCACTTCTTTGGCTCCAGCCCGGTCTCACTCAGAACATCCAAGAAGATTCTTATTCTGCTGGTTCCTGCTCACATGACTGTCCATGTCCATGTGCCCCAGAAGATAAGCTTCCAAAGGCTGTTAGCACAGCTCAGCAAGTCGTCAAATAAGTATCCAAGTCTTTGTCGGTTATGGTAAAAGCAAAACACAGCACAAAACAAAAAATCTGTAGAATGTTAGAGCTAAAAGGATCCCCCTGAAATTATCTAGTCAAACTTTCTAATTTTGCCAGTAAGAAAACCATATTCACAAATGTGGGTGTTGCCCAAGGTCACACCATCACAGCTGGGTCTGGAACTCAGGCCTCCTAACTCCTAGGAAAGCAAAGTGTCCACACCTGCCCTCATTTCCAACTTCCCTTCCACCATAGAAAAACACCATAGAGCTCACAAGACCACAGGGCATTTTCCACCAAAAAGTCTCTCCATCCGGCCCAAAGCTGAGAACCTTTTTCTTGGCACTGCTTTCCTCCCCCCGTAGAGAGGTGGGTGGCAGAGGCATCTCCAGGACAGAGGACAACCCGGAGCCCTCACCCTGACCCACCTCCTCCCTCCCCTGGTCCACCTTCCCTCCCACTTCCATCTGCCCATCCTCCTTTTGCATTCTCCCTTTATTCTTGTTTTGCCGCCTGCCTTTTCAGCTGTTTGCTCAGAAGCTGGGCTCTGTTTGCTGAGCCTTCATTCATTTTCATATTACCTGGGATATTTTCAGCTGTTCCTCTGGGTTCTTAGGAGAATTTCAAGTGGCGAGCAGCACAGTGGGCTGCAAAGGTAAACACCCATCCCTGAACCCTGAGCCCGCCTGGGGAGAGCACTCATTCATAGGCTGCCTTCCTGACCAGCACAGCCAGTCTCTCGGGCCTGACAAGAGGCCTCTCACCCTGGAATCTTGGGAAGCTGGGTGGGCTTTTAGGCAGGCAGGCTGCAAGTTTTCTTCAATCCAAGACTGGTGCAGGAAGCTGGTGGCTTAAGCTCTTGAGTGATGGGCAGTGATAGTAGGGCCTTTGGCTGCCTCCCCTTGCAGGTTTTCCTCCCTGCACTGCGGCCAGACCTGACAGTAAGTGTCTCAACGGTGCTTCCGTCACCCCCCGGAAACAAGGTGTGGTGCAGCAGGTGGAGAAGTCAATTCCCTCACTTCTGGAAAATAGCTTTAAAAAAGCGCTGATTCATTTCTGTTCCTCTCCTGTACACACCAGGCCCTGTACTGAAGGCACCGGGAGTCCGTGGGAAGAATAAAGAAGGGGAAACCCCACAAAGAAGGAGGCTGTTCCTCTTGGAGGAAGTGGGAGAGCTGTCCCCGTGCCTTCTTTACTAGACATGATCAAAGCCTAAAGAACATCTCTTTAATCCTTACTCCAGGTCCTGGGCAGAACAAGGCCTGAATCCTCCATGTTATGGAGGGAGAAAGGGAGAGAGGGCACGGAAGTAAATGGCAAGTTAAAGGA